GTGTGTGTATCTAGATCTCTGTGTGTGTGTATCTAGATCTGTGTGTGTGTATCTAGATCTGTGTGTGTGTGTGTGTGTGTATCTAGATCTGTGTGTGTGTATCTAGATCTGTGTGTGTGTGTGTGTGTGTATCTAGATCTGTGTGTGTGTGTATCTAGATCTGTGTGTGTATCTAGATCTGTGTGTGTGTGTATCTAGATCTGTGTGTGTATCTAGATCTGTGTGTGTGTGTATCTAGAGTTGTGTTTGTATCTAGATCTGTGTGTTTGTACCTAGATCTGTGTGTGTGTGTATCTAGAGTTGTGTTTGTACCTAGATCTGTGTGTGTGTGTGTATCTAGAGTTGTGTTTGTATCTAGATCTGTGTGTGTGTGTGTATCTAGAGTTGTGTTTGTACCTAGATCTGTGTGTGTGTGTGTATCTAGAGTTGTGTTTGTATCTAGATCTGTGTGTGTGTGTGTATCTAGAGTTGTGTTTGTATCTAGATCTGTGTGTGTGTGTGTATCTAGATTGTGTGTGTGTATCTAGATCTGTGTGCAACTATCTAGATCTGTGTGTGTGTGTGTGTATCTAGATCTGTGTGTGTGTGTGTGTATCTAGAGTTGTGTTTGTACCTAGATCTGTGTGTGTGTGTATCTAGAGTTGTGTTTGTATCTAGATCTGTGTGTGTGTGTGTATCTAGAATGTGTGTGTGTATCTAGATCTGTGTGCAACTATCTAGATCTGTGTGTGTGTGTATCTAGATCTGTGTGTGTGTGTATCTAGATCTGTGTGTGTGTGTATCTAGATCTGTGTGTGTGTGTATCTAGATCTGTGTGTATGTGTGTGTATCTAGATCTGTGTGTGTGTATCTGAATCTGTGTGTGTGTGTGTGTATCTAGATCTGTGTGTGTGTGTGTATCAAGATCAGTGTGTGTGTGTGTGTGTGTATCTAGACCTGTGTGTGTGTATCTAGATCTGTGTGTGTGTGTGTGTGTATCTAGATCTGTGTGTGTGTATCTAGATCTGTGTGTGTGTGTGTGTGTGTGTGTGTGTATCTAGATCTGTGTGTGTGTGTATCTAGATCTGTGTGTGTGTGTGTGTATCTAGATCTGTGTGTGTGTATCTAGATCTGTGTGTGTGTGTGTGTGTATCTAGATCTGTGTGTGTGTATCTAGATCTGTGTGTGTGTGTGTGTGTGTATCTAGATCTGTGTGTGTGTATCTAGATCAGTGTGTGTGTGTGTGTGTGTGTATCTAGATCTGTGTGTGTGTGTGTATCTAGATCTGTGTGTGTGTGTATCTAGATCTGTGTGTGTGTGTGTGTGTGTGTGTATCTAGATCTGTGTGTGTGTATCTAGATCTGTGTGTGTGTGTGTGTATCTAGATCTGTGTGTGTGTATCTAGATCTGTGTGTGTGTGTGTGTGTATCTAGATCTGTGTGTGTGTATCTAGATCTGTGTGTGTGTGTGTGTGTATCTAGATCTGTGTGTGTGTGTATCTAGATCTGTGTGTGTGTGTGTGTGTATCTAGATCTGTGTGTGTGTGTGTGTGTATCTAGATCTGTGTGTGTGTATCTAGATCAGTGTGTGTGTGTGTGTGTATCTAGATCTGTGTGTGTGTGTGTGTATCTAGATCTGTGTGTGTGTGTATCTAGATCTGTGTGTGTGTGTGTGTGTGTCTAGATCTGTGTGTGTGTATCTAGATCTGTGTGTGTGTGTGTGTGTGTGTATCTAGATCTGTGTGTGTGTATCTAGATCAGTGTGTGTGTGTGTGTGTGTGTGTATCTAGATCTGTGTGTGTGTATCTAGATCTGTGTGTGTGTATCTAGATCAGTGTGTGTGTGTGTGTGTGTGTATCTAGATCTGTGTGTGTGTATCTAGATCTGTGTGTGTGTATCTAGATCTGTGTGTGTGTGTGTGTGTGTGTGTATCTAGATCTGTGTGTGTGTATCTAGATCAGTGTGTGTGTATCTAGATCTGTGTGTGTGTGTGTGTGTGTATCTAGATCTGTGTGTGTGTATCTAGATCAGTGTGTGTGTATCTAGATCTGTGTGTGTGTATCTAGATCAGTGTGTGTGTATCTAGATCTGTGTGTGTGTATCTAGATCAGTGTGTGTGTATCTAGATCTGTGTGTGTGTATCTAGATCAGTGTGTGTGTATCTAGATCTGTGTGTGTGTATCTAGATCAGTGTGTGTGTATCTAGATCTGTGTGCGTCTTTTAGTTATTACAGCCCTCGCCTCTGGATCGGGCTGCCGGAGGATCTCAGGGTCACAGAGAACGTTCATGTTTTTAAGATCATGCTCAAGGCCCACTTTTTTAGTTCAGCTTTTAACTGATTACTATTTATTACATTGCTTGTTTTACTTCTTTATTTATTTTTAATTACTCTCGTGTTCTACATTTATGTTGTTTTATGTCTATAATCACATTTTACTGGATATTTTACATCATACATTTTAGATATTTCCATAATAGCTCTTGTTATTTTACACGTCACGTATTTTAATCCTTCCAGTGTTTCCTCAGTGGAGCCCTCTGCCTCGGGACTGGTGGTCGGTGGCGGCAGCTGGGGCGCTCCTAGGGTAGTACCCAGGTAGTGGTGGGGGTTGCCACCCTCCCTCCCAGGGCGCCCTGGATTGGTGTCTTGGCTGCTGCCGTCGATCTGCTGCTGTCGAGGCAGATGGCTCCCATGATGGCGTTTCTTTCATTACCTGTCCAATCTGAGCTCAGCCTAGTGTTTACTCTGGTCTTTTAATGTGTCTGTGCGTGTGTGTGTGTGTGTGTGTGTGCCTGGGAATGGTTTGTGGATTGGGGGTGAAACTCACAATTGTTTTAAGTGTGGGAAAGGGAGGGAATGCGGGTTATATGGGTCATTTTAATCTGTTAAGCACTTTGTGTTGCATCCTGTGCATGAAAAGTGCTTTATAAATAAAGTTTGATTTGACTGATCTAGATCTGTGTGTGTGTGTGTGTATATCTAGATCTGTGAGTGTATATCTACATCTGTGTGTGTGTATATCTAGATCTGTGAGTGTATATCTAGATCTGTGTGTGTGTATCTAGATTTGGGCTTCATATAGAACTGACAGGATGCAGAGAGGAAAATGTGTAGCTTTGGCAAGGCCAGGGGGTACTGGTGCAGTTAGGCTTGGAACTGGTTTTAACTTATATTATTATTATTATTATTATTATTATTATTACAGCTAGAAATGGGATGGGCATTCAAATAGAATTTCTAGAGTTTTCTCCAAGGGTCATGTCTGTGCTGAGCCCAGGGACGTGCATCTCCCTAACCCACCCACCTGAGCTCAGTATCAAACATGAATATGCCTTTTCCAACGGCACTACTCAGCGTGACTCGGGTTGGTGCAGTCAGGACGCCTTTTCCTACAGCATGGTTTGGTTTTTTACGCTACTTTCCCTCTACTTTTCAGTGCTTTGAGGTTCCAAAGGCGCTGAACGGCATCACAACTGCCGGCCACTGATTGGCTAGGGGGCAGAACCAGTGTTTGCTCCAGAGCGTTCTGGCTGCTGCCTGCAGGCGTTTCCTGGTTCAGAGTCTGACAAAAAGCCATAAAACTGAGTAAAATACTCAACAACTCTTTTGTGCTGAGATGTGTTAATGTGTACTAGGGTTGTCACGGTATGAAAATTTAACCTCACGGTTATTGTGACCAAAATTATCACGGTTTTCGGTATTATCGCGGTATTTTTAAACGGTGTTGCATATGTTCAGAAAGCATTGATAGTCCTGTTCTACACAAACTGAAATAGTTCTGAAAAGGTTTAACAGTGTTTATTAAACCTAAGATAACACAAAGCCTTAGCAAAAGTGCAACTTTTCACAAGTAAAGGAACAAATAGCTTATTTTTCTGGAACATGTTACAGTAGTCAGTGCAGGTTTAAATTATACAAATCCAAACATTCAAAACATAAACAATATGTAAACAAATCAAAGAAACACCACTTGTTTTCTCATATACTTGTTTTCTTCATTATCAAAATGAAAATCTAAAACTCCAGTCCACACTTGACTTGAGCGCTGTACAAGTCAACCTTAAAAAATATGTATTTAAAATAAATAGCCACTTTAAACAAATGACTAAAATAACTACTACACTGTGTAATCAAATCCAAATGTTCAAGTATAAATGGCATTGAATAAGTAAACAAATCAATGACAAGGAACTAATTGTATATTTCTCTTCATCATCAACAAATAAGATGCTTCATGCAGCAACAGGGTGTCCGTGACACGGTTTAAATGCTGCCAGAGGACGCTGCGGCTGCAGTATATAGTGACTCGTTGCATTCTCCCTCAACCAAAAGTCCTCACGTCATGCATTTCAGCTAAAATGCTAATGTTAACTTACCTTGCACTGGCTGTAGAGACGTGGGTGATCGTCACGCAGATGTGCCATTAGATTGGAAGTGTTGCTGCCTTTTGCAGACGCTTGTTTCCTGCACGTTCTGCAAACGGGATAGCAGTCTTCTATTAACTGTCCCTCAGCATTTTTCAGAAATCCCAAATATGCCCATACTTCCGATTTAGTCTTCTTTGAGGACTGATGGATGTCCTGGGCGCAGCCGTCTCCTCCTTCGGCCATTATTTCAGCTTCAAAGTTTTGGTGCCGTTGCAAATTAAAAAGTGCGTGTGCGCGCCGCGGGAACTTCAGCTGAAGCGACGGTGGCTGGTAAGGGTCACCGCGCCAAAACCGCGGCCACGGTAAACCCACCGAGATAATATAGTTTTTTAAAAACTGGACGGTTATTTTTATTGTCAACTTTTTTACCGGGGTTTACCGCTATACCGGTTACCGTGACAACCCTAATGTGTAGCACAAAGATCACCTCATAAGACCCCCCCACCCCAGCGAGTGGTGCTGTGAGGGGCACACCCACTTTCCGACACAGAGCTGGCAGTGAAACACAACTACACTGAGGTGAGCTGAGTTAACCCAGGCTATACTGAGCCTTTTTAGGCTGGGTGGTGCTTTTAGAAAAAGGCTCGACTCACCCTGGGCAGCTCCTGGTACCAACTGAACACGTCTACTCCAATTAGTTGGAACATGCGAGCCAGCGGTGGCAGGATCTGTTTGGTGATGTAGTAGGTGGCGTTGAGGCGCAAGCTGGGGTCCTGCAGAACCTCCGTGGGTCTCCGGACCAGCTGAATGAGGGGCACGCCCGGCATCCCATACACAATGACATAGGGCACTCGCTCACCCACACAAGGCTCCAGGCGCCTGTCGTACGCCATCATTCGTCTGCAAGCAGGAGAAACATGGACACCTGAGGAAGCCATCTGCACCAGAACATCAGAGTTCTCATCGACAGGTGCAGACCATATGAATCCCAAACACTTGTTTTCCCCACTCATTGTGTGGTTTACATATTTTCAAGTTTTCAATTCAATTCAAGTTTATTTATAAAGCGCCAAATCGCGACAAGAGTCGTCTCAAGGCACTTCACATAATAAACATTACAATTCACAGTTCATTAAGCCAGTCAGAAATAATGTGTCCTGTATAAGGAACCCAGCAAATTGCATCAAGTCATATAACACAAACATACATATATATATATATTTTTTACGTATATATATTTGTGTATATATATATATATATATATATATATATATATATATATATATATATATATATATATATATACACATATATACATATATAAATGTGTGTATATATATGTATATATACACACATTTATATATACACATATATATACACATATGTGTATATATATGTGTATATATATATATACACATATATATACACATATATGTATATATGTGTATATATATGTGTATATATATATACACATATATACATATATACATTTATATATATATATTTATATACACATATATATATATATATATACGTAAAAAAAAAAAAATATATATATATATATATATATATATACCGTAAATCCTCTAATACAGGCCCGGGCCTGTATTTGACTCAAGCTCATCAAGCTCCAGGCCTTTATTGGAAGGAGGACCAGTATTAGAGGCAGGCCTCTATTTCTATTTGAGCAAAATTAACTAATGGTTCGCTGGAGTTTTTGACAATTAAAATTGCGCCCACATTTTCAAAGTTAAACACATTTCTTTTAACGACGGTAGTTTCTGCTTCAGCCCTCCCCCCTCCCCCTGCTTCAGCCCTCTCCCCCCTCCCCCAGCGCAGTGGCTGCAAACTCACTGATGCGCCTGCAGCCTCTCGGAGTTCCTGCTGCTCTAAACATTAAAATAATTATTTCATTTTCTGTTCCTCACTTCTGATTACCTTCAATGGTGTCTGTTTGTTGCAACCAGCAGGTACAAAAACTAACTTGTTTTTATTTGACTATTTTTCTGTCCTGTCTGTTTATTATCTTCCTGCATCTCCTCTCAATCCTAAAGAAAAACTGCTACCTGGGTTCATATATATTCACCTCATGAGGTACCTTTGAACTGCAGTTCTAAAAGATCTACCGACCGCAAAAACAGCGGGGTGCTCGCCGGCTGCACCAGTTAGGTGCGTCACCGAGGACAAAACGGGCGACGTGCCCCGTTCCACAGCAGCGAAACGCATCAGGCACAAATAAAAGAATAAAAGACAGAAAACATAAAAGGAAATGAGCCGACATGAACGATCGCGTGTTAAATTAGTTTTTGAGGTGGCGACACCTGATTTGATAATGTTACTGTGGCCGTGCTCAGGACGCAGATGTCTGGAGCGCGTCAACAATCAGAGCTTTGCATGTGCTAGCTGGTTAAGGTTAGGATGGGGGTGAGGGGAAGGTTAAACTGCAAGAGGGTAAAGGTCACAATTTGGTTAAATGTCCGTTTTACGGCGGGTGTCAGTACCGACGCTCTGGCACAGCGCGTTGCCTCCCGACGCGCAGGAGCTTGTCACCTGCTGACAGCAGGCTGCTGTCTTTTCCGAGGACTGCATCTTGCCGGTCATTATCACGTGACAGCGACTAGTCGATGACGGGCATAAAAAGTCACTATAGAGCGGTGAAGTCGACTAGTGACTAGTTCATACAACCCCTGCTACTGCCCCCCAGAGTGTTCTGCAGCATAATCGGCACGCTCTCTTTGAACTTGATATCAAATTTTCGCCTCCTCTTCGTCTCCGCACGGTTAAAGTTACCCTCGCGGTCTATCACAGGCAAATCAAAAGTGAGACGGATGACACAACCGCCCCCCGTACTTGCTTGTTACCACATTCCAACCGGCCACAACTCTCTGCAGGTGGTCTCATCCTTTCGAGCTCGGGTCCTCTGCCAGAGGCCTGGGATCCTGAGCGTTCTGCAAAGTATCAAAAATGTTCCTAGAACTGCACCTTTCTGGACTGAGTTGTCTGATGTTTTTCCTGGAATCTACTTTAGCCACTCCTCCACTTTGAGAATTACTGCCCTGAGTACCCCGATGACCACGGCCACCACCGATGTCTTCACTCTCCAGGCTTTCTCAGGTTCTTCTTTTAAGCCCTGGTACTTCTCTAGTTTCTCATATTCCTTTTTCCTGATGTTGCAACACTTGGTATCGCCACATCAATCACAACGGCTGTCCTCTGTTGTTTGTCCACCATCACAATGTGCGGTTGGTTCTCCATCACCATTTTGCCAGGCTGGATCTGGAAGTCCCACAGGAGCTTGGCTTTCTTGTTCTCAACCACCTTAAGGGGTGTCACCCACTTTGACCTTGGGGCTTCCAATCCATACTCTGCACAGATGTTCCTGTACACGATGCCAGCCTCTTGGTTGTGGCATTCCATGGATGCTTTCCCTGCCAGCATCTTACAGCCTGCAGTTTTGGTGGATTGTGTCAGGGGCCTCTAGCCTACACCTTGGATCTTGTCTGGTGTGGTAGACCTTGACCTCTGTTGCTCTGGTGTTCAGGGCCTGTTCCTGTGCAGCCATGATGAGTACCTCTGTGCTGTCCTTCAGACCAGCTCTTTCTAGCCATTGGTAGGATTTCTTGTCATCAGCCACTTCAGTTATCTGTCGGTGGTACGTCCCATGTAGGGCTTGTCCTCCCACGATGGTATTTCCAGCGTCTGTTCCTCTGTTCGCCATTGTCTGAGACATTCACGGAGCACACCATCTCTTGGGGCCTCATCTTTGATGTACTTACTGGATCTTGGATGTTTCATCCCGGACAGTGGCTCTCACACTCACTAGTCCTCGGCCTCCTTCTTTACGGCTAGTGTGCAATCTCAGTGTGCTGGATTTGGAATGAAACCTTCCTTGCATGGTTAGGAGCTTCCGCGTCTTGACGCCTGTGGTCTTTATTCCTTTCTTTTGACCAGTTTATTATTCCAGCAGGATATCTGATTACTGGCAGGGCGTAGCTGTTAATCACCCGCATCTTGTTCCTGCCCTTGAGCTGACTTCTTAGGACTTGCCTTACCCCCGTAGGTATTTGGCTCTTGCTCATTTTCTTGCAGCGTCGAAAAGGTTGCCATTTGCTTGTGGGATACCGAGGTACCTGTAGCTGTCCTCAGTGTCTGCTATTGTTCCTTCTGGGAGTGAGACCTCTTCTGTGTGGACTATCTTCCCTTTCTTTGTCACCATCCGACCACACTTTTCAAGTCTGAATGACATTCCGATATCAGTACTATAGATCCTGGTGGTGTGGATCAGTGAGTAGATGTCTCAGGCCTAGTCCACACGTAGCCGGGTTTTTTTAAAAACTAATATCCACCCCTCCAAAAACTTGCATCCACACCACCGCGTTTAAAAAAAAAACTCTGTCCACACGTACCCGGATAAATACGTAGTTAAGGACATGCCAGACCTGTAGGCGGCAGTACTTCCCCCGTTCTTAACCTCGTCCTTCGTCTGTGGTCTTCCGCAAGGAGCAGTAATTCCTCTTGCAAAAACAAACAAGCAGAAAGCGCTTGGACTATTGATAAAGCGAGCGCAGCTCTGAGGGCATCCATGCTGTCGGCTAGTGTTAACACAGGTCGCACACGTGATGTCAGCATTTTTTTGTCGTGGAAAGTGACGTTGCGGACCTTAAAACTCCGGTTTTGTCCGTCCACACGCAGACACCCAAAACGGAGAAAACGCAGATCTTCACTTTGGCCGGAGTTTTTAAAAAGATCCGTTTTCGTGTGAAAAAACTCCGTTTTCGTGTGGATGACAGGCCAAAACGTAGAAAAGTATCTACGTCTTGGCAGATCCCCGGCTACGTGTGGACAGGGCCTCAGTCATTACTGGAGTACAGCTTTATGTCATCCATGTAGAGAAGGTGGCTGATTCTTCATTCTTGAGTCGGTATCCATAGCCAGTCTTGTTGATTATTTGGCTGAGGGGGTTCAGACCTATGCAGAACAGCAGTGGGAACAGGGCGTCTCCTTTGTATGTGCCACATTTTATGCAGACTTGTGCAATTGGCCTCGAGGTATTTCAGCTGATTACCTGGCTACGGGCACAGACACAGTTACTGTGCAGACGCTAGCTTAGTGTGTGTATCACATGTGTGAATGCATCTGTGTGAATAAAATTGATAAGAAGCAGTAATCAGTTATCTGAGTTTCGAGTACGACAGTATCGTGAGTTAAAGTACTGCCTTAAGGTCAGAGTTTACTAAGTTAAAGGTAGTTAGTTAATAAAAACTGTACACTCATTTAGAGGTTGGTCGTGTTGCAACAGACTCAGCTACATTGCAGTGGAGAAGGGTAGCTGGATCTAATCTGAGCTCTGGACCGGTTCCTTGGTTCCTGTCTGTGTGGTTTATTTCCCACAAACGTACCTTGATAGCTCCAATGCTGGCACACAGGCTCCAGGTCGATATGAGCTGCTGCCGCGATATTCCTTGGCAAAGATGAGGTCCTGCATGCTGGCCCGACCATCCAGAACCTTCACACACTGGCGCTGCACAAACTGCTTCACCTGACTGACGTCCCTGGTCTCAAACAGCAGCTTTATTGACCGTTCCAGAATCTGGAACACAGGACAGGACTGAGTCAGAAACGGGTGGGGGTGGGGGGGGGCAGTGTGCGTAGATCCAGCCTTTCATTGTTAATCACCAGAAGAGTACGTACATAAAAAGAGGTGGTCAGAACTGAAGATGGAGCCAAAGAGGACAAAAGCCATTATAATCCTAATGATGCATCAAACAGCAGCATTCTGGTGCTCGGGGATCACGGAGATACCCCGGATCTAAGGGGAACATTTGATGTTAACCCAAAGGGGCTTTAGGGAGGAAGTCGCTCTTTTTATTATAAAATCAAACAAAAAGCAGCCTGCCCGTTGGCTCACTCCGGCTGGAATGAGCTGGCTTCAAAAGTTGCAGATGAACCGGTACGGAACGGTTCTGGTGGATCAGCTGGTCTGACACAGAGCTCAGTTCAGCACGTAGATCTAATTAGACTGCTCTAGGGAATCTAAACCAGCTGATCAACCAGTCATCATGATGAGCCAAACGATTTTCAGGGTCTCTGAATCTAGTGGCGGGCCATTCGTTTGGTACCTGGGCCTTCAATGCAGCTTTGGGTCAAGAAGGATGGACTACTTTACCATCAGAACCTTCTCCACAACTCCCACAAAAGACTGAGCTGTCATTGATGCTAATGTGGGCAATACATGGTGGTAGGAACTGGGAGGCATAAACCTTCGACAGACATTTTGGTATTTAATTTTGTTACGGTGATTTCAATGAGTTCACACATTTTCTTGTAACAATAAATGGCTTCAAAACATTACTGAACAAGATTCAATAAAGATTTAGTGTTTTCATTAATATTCTTTGATTAATGGATAAAGAAATTTGAAACCCACCAGGGTGTGTAAGCTTACCAACACAGCTGTATTTGGGGGTGTTTGCATTACAGTGAGCCTTTTCACCGAGGCTGCCGACTCGGTTTTGTTTTTGCGGTTTGTGTGGGGCTCGGGATAGGTAGGCCAAACCCCTTCCCTGCATAACCAGGTCATTTTTATACGGCCTGTCAAAACTGGTCAGATACTTGGGGCAATGTGTCATCGTTCACTTAGAAAATTCGTCCAAATTCATATTTGATTCGTTCGTGATTGTCGCATCACTACTGATAAAAGGGTTTTTTACAAAACAATGTTGTCAATTTGCCGCTACGCCATAGCGGCATCAGGGAGCCTTAGGTCGTTTATGAGTGGTCAGAGCGTGGCGGTAATATGGCGCAATCGTGTCCTTCTTACAAAAGATTAGGCGATGGCGGCGTAAAGGAGGTAAGGGGGCGGTCTCTGCGTTGCCATGGACTTCTGTTCATCTGGGACAAAACTTGCTTTTTATTGTGATCAAAGCCACGCTCATCATGTTTTCTGGACTAGCCGCACCTGAATGTGTCTGTCCTCCACAGTCCCCGTGCAGTCTCTGGTGAGTTGAGCTCCAGCTCTAATGGAAAGAAGGTCCTGGAGAGCTGCATCGCTCCAGTTTGCTGTCTCAGCTGATTTTGTTCAAAAAGCTGAACTCATGGCGCGTGTTTACTTTCATTTTAAACCAAGTTGCTGGCTGGTGCTCGGCAGCAACTCCCCATGTAGTCAGACTCGTCATGATGCCTCCATCTGTTGCTGGGAAGCCATTCTAGTTTTAATAATCTAGAGTTTATGATTTCTGCAAATCAGAATTTGACATGTTTGAAGGCTTTACCAAACATCCCTCAGAAAACCACACCTTCCAGATACAAGCTGTTCTCGTTCTGTGGATAAAGAATCTAAACTATGTGAGGCGACCTTAACCTTCATTTGCATCTAATGAACATTACGTATGCGTGTAGATGATGATTCACTTGTTAAATCAAACAGTACGGATCATAAGATGTAAATGGATCATTGTAAAGTCAACATTAATTTCAACTTCACTGAATTAGGCACAGATAATTCAAACATTTCATATAACATCCGGTTCATTCACCCATACGATTATTTATGATTATTTAACTTATGAGTTGTAAAAGTTCACTTTTTATTCAGAGTGTGGAATCCATCAGTCTGAGAGAATTTGACAATCTTGTCTTCATGGACCGTCAACAAGCCCTGCAGAATCTTCTGGGTGCTAGAAGATAGAGTAACAACTCCACCTAGATAGTGGATGGTGGATAAAAACTGATAGTACTGTTAATAATGTCTTTAATGGTTTGACATCTGGAGGTTTTAAACGAAGGTTCATCTATTTCTATTTCTCTGGGAACAGACAGGCTTTTGTAAGCTCTAACAGGGAGGACTGACCTTGCTCTCGGTACCAGACTTGGTGCTGGGGCTGGTCCCCCTTATCAGTAGAACTCCCTTGAGAAGTCCAGACAGCTCTATTGTTTTAGAAATAGCACCTGGAGTGCCTTCTCACCTGAGAATCGGTGAGAACCTCAAATGTGTGTGTAAATGTGTGTGTGTTTTATCTGTCAGTGTGTCTGCTTAATAAATACTCTTGGAGGACTTTGATGAGAGTGAAGTGTCAGACCTCTTTGTGGTGTGTATTTCATTCTCCACTTAGCAAAGTCTAAATTGGTCGATTATTGGTATATGGTTTTGATCAGCTGATTATTATAACCCCTGCGTGTTGAACTTTCCCTAAGGTAATCCTGGATGGGAGATAAAATTACCTAACAGTGGACTTATGTGGTCAATATATAAGTCAAAATGGACCCTTTCTGGATGTTACATATCCCCCCTTTTCAAAGACACGGGGTCCTGGCAGAAACCACGAGTCGCTGAACAACCCCAGAGGCCCTGAGGACTCAGCAGAGGAAGAAAAAGTTAGTTCCCAGGCACGGAAGCATCAGGAGTGAGGAAAGCAAACCCCCCACACAGAAAATGTAATCCCACTTAGCGATATCCACAGGCAGGAACCAAGATGAGCAAGAAACAGACCAGATCCCAGCGATCCCTCTCCCCAGCCACTTGGGCCAGCTCCTCCGGGGGAATCCCAAGGTGTTCCCTGGCCAGCCAAGGAATGTAGTCCCTTCAGCGTGTCCTGGGTCTTTCCTTGGGTCTCCTCCCAGTTGGACGTGCCCAGAAAACCTCACCAGGGAGGTGTCCAAGAGGCATCCTGACCAGAGGCCTGAGCCACCTAAACTGGCTCCTCTTAATGTGCAGGAGTAACGAGTCTACTCCAAGCTCCTCCCGAATGACCGAGCTTCTCACCCCATCTCTAAAGTCACACGAGAGCAATCTGCTGAGCAAACAGCCTCAAATGACTGTTCGCTCAGCAGATTGCTCGCCGTGTGCGCCAGATTTTCACGGAGTTTTCTGCCTCACAAGATGCTGAGGTGAATATCTGACCAGTTAGGTATTTTCCACCTCATGGGGTGTAAAAACTCACCGTGTGCGCACTACTGAGCTATTGGCTGCGCTGAAATATTCTAGTGGCCAATCAAAGCGGGTTCTCTGCTCACATGACCCCAAGATGTATTCAGATGCAGCCCCGTCCTGTCTGAGAGTCAGAAAAATAATGACTCCCAACCACACCTCTCCGGGTCTCACGGTCATTGCCCATGTGGCCAAGCAGGTCATGTACAATGAGCTAACATCTCTTCCTTCACTTTGCTCTATTATTATTCTGTCTGAGGCAGTTTTGCACATCTTCACAGCTCTCCGTCAGGTCCATTTCTCTGTGCAGCAGCTAGCATAGCGCCAGCTCATGGAGGTTAGCATTGTCTTCATTAGTGCTGGTGCGGTCTTCTGCCTCTGCAGTTCACAGGACTATTTAGTCCACTTTCAGCTTGCTAAGCGAGGTCTCCAGCTTTGTCAGAGAGCTGGGTCCTTGTGTGTCCTCCTTGGTTGTCTTTTCTCAGTATTTTTGTCTTGCAGTCACTAATGCTAGCATGCATTTGCCTGCTCTGTGTTTGCATGAGTGTTTTAAGTGTTCTCCTTTATCCTCAGCTGAGTCCGATTTAGATCGTCCCTTTCCTCTCACACATGATGCCGTGTCTATTTAATAAACAAAGGTCAAGTGTAATGATAGCTTAGTGTAAAAATGTACCTAATATTGGACAGAGCGCGTTTTCTAAGCTGTGGCCAACATGGTGTCACCCAGAAGTCCCACGTTTTTCTTTACAAACCACAAAGGTTGTGTAAATGACTTGCTGCAGGTTTCAGATCCAGTGTTGTGCACAAGAAAGCTTTTATAAATGCAGCCCCAGGGAAGGAAGTCAAGCAGCTGTGGGGTTTTTTACTTTGACAACAGCGAGGCATCCATCACGGCGGACCGTTTCTATTCCTTTGGCATCGAACACTGGCTCCTTCTGATCCAGGCTCTCATACATGTAACCCACGTAGCGCTTCTTAGTCTGCAGCAGACAGGGCAGGTACACCTGGACCAGAGAGATAAAGACACAGCAGGTCAGTCACAGGAAGCTACATTAGAGCTCAGTCGGACTTCCAAACGGTTTACCTTTTCAAACTTGAGCTTCACGGGTTTAGGGTTGGTTTGAGTCACGGCTTCGGCGATCTCGTTGCCAATCCTGAAGGCCTGCTCTTTGGTGGCTCCCTTCAGAAGAACAAACATGCTGCCGAACACAAGAACCTCATCAGTCACACACAGCGCATGCTGTCAGCTCTGCAGAGTTGTAAATGTGCTGACGTAAAGCCAGCCCCGCCCCCGACAGTACGCGAGAATGAAATCCACAAACAGTGAAGATGAAGGGATCAGCTCCACAACCTGTCAGTGTCTCCGTACACCACCCGCGCTCCCCATTTCCTCGTCTCGTTGACCATCTTGATGGCTCTCTCTAAGGTCTCTCTGGCTTTGTGGACAATGCTATCTCCCACCTGGAGACGGGATAAAAAAAAGAGATTTTCTGTCATTCTACGTGGATCTAAGGTGTCCAGTATGAGTCAGGGTTAGTGCTGAAACCAATAGTCGATTATTAAAAATGTTTGATTTATATCTTTTAAGTCGGTTGTTATGGCAGGTGCCTCCTTGCCCCAGGAAAAGGAGGTCTGTAACTCCTTTGGTGCCATCTCCTGACCTTAAGGAGGAATGGACAGGAGTTGGAGGCTCCAGAATGGTTTTTTTGCACCACCTCTTCCCTCTA